ATCTCAATCCTCGGGGGAGGCTTTGCCCTGGAGGAGGTAGGGATGGTGGGTGGGCTGGAGGGAAGGGGAGGGGGGCAGGATGAGGGAGAACAAGGGAATCCGTGGCTGATATGTAGAACTGAATGGTATTGTAAAATAAAATAAGAAGGGGAAAAAGAAAAGAAAAGATTTAAAGAGTCAAAATAAAGCCATAGGAATATGATATTAATTGCAAAAAAGCATAATATTAAGTGAGATGATCAAAATACAGTATGATTAAAAAATGTTCTCCCACATATTCTAGTCTATAATGTATATGCGTAACTGTGTAAACATGTGTAAGTGTGGGTAAAGTCTAAAAACCTAGAAAAGAAGACCCCAAGAGTAACACTAGGTCATGAAGGATGAAGAGTAGACAAAGGACACTTGACCATGAACAAGGAAATGAATATGGGGACTTGGAACTATAGAAGAAAGGAGTGGAGTAGCAGAGGGTAGGAAATGAAAGGGGAGACGAATTACAAAGCACACCTCTTTAGAAAATGTCACAATGCTATCTAACACATTTTATACTGGTTGGGCTCTGGGACTTATTAAGAGTAATAAAAAGGATATGAAGTTAGGAGAGAAACTGGGTGAGGAACATAAGGAGGCTAGAGGTAGGCAGATACTGTTGGATATATACGTGATCAAAGTATGCTGTGTAAATGTATTTTTAAAGAATAGACAAAAGTGCTATTTAAAAAATACACAATGAAGACCAGTTGAGTAAGTCACCCAGTACTGAGCTCTGTCTCCATATGCACAGGCACTCACATGCACACTCCCACACACATACACACACACTTTAAGAGATGAGATAACTTTAAGGTAAATTCTGATTAGGGTTTCTGGAAAATATGAATGGCTCTTATCTGCCGAGACAAGAGTATCCACTCCACAGGTCATATAAAATGTTTTTAAACACATATTTTGGTACACAAAGGGGCTGTTGCTTGCTTTGTCTGATGACATTAACACTAGCTATTTTCTCTATTATTCTACAGATTCCCATTAGGGTTCTTACTCAGGTTGATCCTAGTTCTTTCCACTGCCATTTTTGCAGGGCAGTTTTCTATGACACCTGAACCCATTGTTCTTTATCCGTGCAGTTACAGTGTTCCCGCCTCTTACTTACCTTATATGCATATATTTGCAAAATCATCTCATTGTCAGTGTTTAGTTCAGGAAACATGGCAAGCACCACTAAGGCTGCCATTTTCATGAGAAGCTGGCTAGAAACTTCTTTCTTCCAAAGGTTTTGTTGTTTCTCTTTTTAAAACTATTCTTAGTTAATTTAATTTTGAATACTGTTAAGTGAATTTAGCATATAGATATACTTTTACTTCAATAGTACTGTCTCTTTCCAAATTGGTTTACTGTATTGTTTATTTTATTATTATTTATTATTCTATTATTATTTATTATTTATTTATCTTCTCTCTCTCTCTCTCTCTCTCTCTCTCTCTCTCTCTCTGTGTGTGTGTGTGTGTGTGTGTGTGTGTGTTATGGGGATTGAGAGAAGTGGTATTTCTTCATTTTAGTTTTTTAAAATGGGGCTTTGTATTTTGTTACACTACTTTTCTTTCTTAGAAAATTGACTTATCTCAGATAGAAATACTTTTAACCAGGCAAGATATTTACCTTAGATTTATCTTGGAAGTGTGTTCAAAACAGTTGTGTACTTGCTAATTTCAACAAAGACAAGACATTGATTTTCTTTGCAGTCTAATATTAAATCTGTTCCATGGGAAAACTTGTTTTTTGTGCTTCATACCTCCCGTATCTCTGTCTTTTCTACTTCTTTGAAGCAGATGTTGAATCCCTGGGGTTGATTCTACCTGAGTTTCTCATGTGAGTGTCTACATCCAAGTTATAAACTAGGGGTTTTGTGCTCAACATTTTTAGACCATTTCTTTTCCTAGCGCTTTGTGAACTATGCTGTCTGTGGGAGTTTTCACCACAGGCAATGCCCTGCATGGCTGTCTGGGACCAGTTGCCTTCAGATGGACCTTCTCATCCTCAGCAGCCCATGGAAATCCCCAACATTTTCTTAGTGACCAATATTATTTTAAATTGGAGTTGCGTGTATTTTCTTTTCAACATTATTGTTTGTAAATAACTTACATTCTGGGAAATTCTTCTTTTGTAGTTGTATAGCTTAATGGTATCTAGTAAAAGGATACAGTTGTATAACCATTTTAAAATCTAATAAATCAGCTTTCTGCTATTCTTATACTGACCTTGTGTCTATTTAAATACTCAACTCCTTCCTGTATCTAAAGGATTTTAAAGTTTTTCTTTTGCATATCTATGAGCATTCCATAAATTATACATACTGTATTTCCATTACTAATAAATGTAAATGCAGACAGAACTTAATATAGTAAAGTGTAACGATAATTCATATTGAACCATCTCTGGACATTTGTTTTCCTTTCTGACTTTTCCTAATAGGATTTTTTTTATAGCCTCCCAGACACTGAGGTTGTGGGTGACTGGAGGAGCCTTTGACATCATTACAGCTGTGATTTTGTTTTTGTAACATGGTGATGCCACAAATTCAACTGATAACTCTTTGAAGAACAACAAGCAAATTCAACTCTAAGTTGTAAATCACCTCAAGCAAGCTCCTATAATTTCCAATTGTAAACTTTACATTCTTTTCTCAACGTTTGCTGTACTCTATGTGAATATGATATCTATCATTTAGTTTTAACTCTTTTCTTCTTCTTAATAGACTCTTAATTAATCAACCTAATCCCCACAAATTTTAATTTGGTGAAATAGTCACAATGTTGTCTTTTTTAGTAATTTAATATGCCAATAGTACATTAAGTATCCTGAAGCACTGACTATATGTAGCCAACTTTCAAATTGTACCTTGGTAAGCATGAAAATAAAGGCATGTGTTAACTGAAGGTGCAATCTTAATTCTCTGAAGAGTCCTAATTTAAAAACAAGCACAATTTTAAAATAAAGTTGTCATGTCCTTGAATAGTTATTTCTATGTAATTATTGTTTACTGAATACTGTCTACTAGATAGACCACAGTGCTAAAAGTCATGCATGCTTTTATCTTATTTAATGCAATTTCAATAAGCATTGGAGTTGTTGGCATTTCTCCATTCTATAGAGAAGATAAAGGATTAAATAGACTGACTATAAAATCTCTTAGACATGATAGAGCCCAGTGTTCAAAACCTATGTATACTTATCCTAGCTGGTTCCAAAGTATAGTTCTTTGATTAACTGTCAATCCTATATGGATTGATCCTCTTTAAATATGAAAGTAAGAAATTTGAATAAGCTATATGCTTCTTAGTAAAAGAAATATATTGAAGATGCTATCATAATTACTGTATTACCTGAAGTATATATAAATGAGATACTTTTGAGAATTTTTCCTATCCCCAACTAGACACCATATGCTACCAATAAAACCCCCATACAGGAATGTATTACCTCATTTTGAGTCATTGACTAATAAGGTCCTATCGAGTCCTCAAATAATGTGGTTACCCTCCACAACATATTGGTAATATCCTATTCCTGAAGACATCACACATTTTCAGTATAGAATATGGAAAAATGTAGCTTGTACTCAACAGGAAGCTTACCCCCATTTGCTAGCATTCATAGTGCTAGAAGATACTATACATGCTGCTAAAGGAGAAAAATAATAATCAACCTTACCTAACTATGAACCTTGTGAGCTACAATAATGACCTCTCTGCAAGATATACACACTGGTACAATCATGGCACAGACGTCAGGGGAGTGACAACCACTTTTCACTTGGATTTAAGGCCACCTCTATGAGATCGAACACATACCTGTTATTGCTGATGAGATCAAGAATCTGAGACTAGATAGATAGGTTATGTGCCCAGGGGAAACCTACTACAATTATTCTGATAAATGATCATAACATGACTCCCAATGATATATTACTATATTCGTAGATCATTGTCTTGCTCAACCTTCAATAGAGAAGCTTCTTCTGTAATAGTTCTTAGCTTGATGGGTGTGGTAGAATGCTTTTGATTACTGTCAAAAGAAGAAGTGTGAGCTGCATTGAATGCTGAAAGAAGTTTGAATGCTGATTTTAAAACTATGTATTTTCACGTGGGTTTCAGGATTAGTCAATTTGTTATAGATGAGCTGAAAGCTTTCCTGGTTCACAGGGTGTCAAGCATGTCTAACTGAACATAACTTGACATGAGCCGTCTACCTCAGCTTCTTACCAAGAACTTCCTCAGTGAAACTGGTGTGCTAGGACACTAAATGTTCATCTGGTGAAAAGCTTATTCCTGCCATGCCAAGCAATAGGCTTTTTGTCTTACTTTTCAATGAACATCCTCTTAGAGATACCCATGGTATGTCCACTGTGCTTCTAAAGGGTCTACTAGGAGATTATGGAAATATTTGAAAGATCTGCGGCTAGTTTCTGGAAAAATAGAGAAACAAAATGCTTGAAAATATGTAAAACATTTGTTTTCAGTATTCCCTCCTATGTCCTTGGCATTTATTACCAGTGTCCAAGGGGAAATAAAATGTTGATGTAATTAGCACAAAGTAAAATAGTGGTTACTAGGAGAGATGAGATAAAAGTTTCATTGACATACTGTGGTCAAGGGCTCTACTATATAAAACGAGGGTGAGGTCAATAATAATGCAATATGTGCTTAAAGGGTGTATGTCATGAAATGATATCTATGACATAGCAAATATGCTAGTCAGCTATGTTTAGCCACTCCACTAATTTCACATACTTTAAAACCTTATATTATACATAAGTACAGCTTTATCTGTTGGTTTTAGAAATAAAACTTGTGATTTCATATAAGTATAAATTTAGGAAGTATATTGACCACAGAGTGCCAAATTGGTAAATATTTATTAAATGTTTTCATTTAAATGTTTGATTTTCATGCTAATTTTCCTTTCAATCTTACATTCTGGTTGCCTTGACTTTTCAGATGCAACAGCTGTTCCATGAAAACTACGAGCACAATCGCAAGGGTTACATCCAAGACCTTCACAACAGCAAAATCCACGCAGCCATCACCCTTCATCCAAACAAAAGGCCGGCGTACCAATACAGACTGCATAATTACATGCTTAGCCGCAAGATCTCCGAGCTCCGCTACCGCACCATCCAGCTCCACAGGGAAAGTGCACTCATGAGCAAGCTCAGCAACAGTGAAGTGAGCAAAGAGGACCAGCAGCTGGGAGTGATGCCTTCTTTCAACCACTTCCAGCCCCGGGAGAGAAATGAGGTCATCGAGTGGGAGTTCCTGACTGGGAAGCTGCTTTACTCAGCCTCAGAGAACCAGCCTCCTCGACAGAGCATCAACAGCATCCTTCGGACAGCCCTGGATGACACCGTCCTGCAGGTGATGGAGATGATCAACGAGAATGCCAAGAGTAGGGGCCGGCTCATTGACTTCAAGGAAATTCAGTATGGCTACCGCAGGGTTGATCCCATGCATGGGGTGGAGTACATCTTGGATCTGCTCCTCTTGTACAAAAGGCACAAAGGAAGGAAACTGACTGTGCCTGTGAGGCGTCATGCCTATCTTCAGCAGTTGTTTAGCAAGCCTTTCTTCAGAGAAATAGAAGAACTCGATGTCAACAGCCTGGTGGAGAGTATTAACAGCGGCACTCAGTCCTTCTCCTTAATATCCAATTCTCTAAAAACACTCTCTTCTTTTCAAGAGACCAAAGAAATAGGAGGGCACAAAGAAAAGAAAGTGCACATTCTTGTTCCCCTCATTAGAAGGTATGATACTTTCTTGAGATTCATGGAAAATTTTGAAAGTACCTGTCTTATCCCAAAGCAAAATGTAAAGCTGGTCATCATCCTTTTCAGTGGGGAATCTGGCCAAGAGTCCAACAAGCACATTGAGCTGATACAAGACTATCAGAACAGGTACCCTAACGCAGAAATGATGCTGATTCCCATGAAGGGGGAGTTTTCCAGAGGTCTTGGTCTTGAAATGGCTTCTTCTCAGTTTGACAATGACACATTGCTGCTATTTTGTGATGTTGACTTGATCTTTAGAGGAGACTTTCTCCAGCGATGTAGAGACAATACAATTCAGGGACAACAGGTATACTACCCCATCATCTTTAGCCAGTACGACCCAAAGGTGACCCACATGGGAAATCCTCCCCCAGAGGACGACTTTGTATTCTCAAAGGAAACTGGATTTTGGAGAGACTATGGCTATGGTATCACTTGTATTTACAAAAGTGATCTACTGGGTGCAGGTGGATTTGATACCTCAATACAAGGCTGGGGACTGGAAGATGTAGATCTCTACAACAAAGTTATCCTATCTGGCTTACAACCCTTCAGAAGTCAAGAAGTAGGAGTGGTGCATATTTTCCATCCAGTTCATTGTGATCCTAACTTGGACCCTAAGCAGTATAAGATGTGCTTAGGATCTAAAGCAAGTACTTTTGCCTCAACCATGCAACTGGCTGAACTCTGGTTAGAAAAACATTTGGGTATCAGGGACAATCGAACTCTCTCCTGACAGTCCAGGCAACACGCATTGCCTTTTGGAAGGGGAGTTTACCTCAGTGTTGGCTGTTATTATTTTTATTTTATTGTTGTTATTTTATTGTTATTATTATTATTGTTGTTGTTGTTGTTATAATTTTATTTTGTTGTCCTGGTCTTAAAGTATTCTTGGTTGTCTTCCAAAGGGTGTTTGTTGACCTCAAGCAAGAAGAGTCTGAAGTTCACTGATATTTCACAGTCAGAGTTCTACTGAAGTCAATAAGTGTATTACTTTTATATAACTTTATTTGAGATTGAGTTAAATCATGGCAATCAAATGACTTTGGAAGCTCATTCATCACAAGAGACAGCTTAGAAGAATGTTCTCTTAGGGCTTAAAGATGCAATATTGACTTTTCTTTTGTTTGTCAACTTCAATGTGATACAAATATTTACTGGTGAAAGGTACCACAAAAGTGCTTTATGCTTCCTATGGGGAAGGGACTCTGTGACATAAACTTGAGTTTTGTAATTTATACAAGGACTTAAATATATAGACAATAATTTTCTTCATCGTTAGAATTTTTAAAGTAAATGAACACCTATGATTGTATGTTTATTTTTTAAGAAAAAGTTTTAAAAATTGAGGAGTACTGTTCCACAAGCAACCGGTACTGGCTACCCTGGTCTTACAATTACAAACTCCTCAAAACTGTCTGCTATAAATGCGAAGGAACTTTATTTTCTCAAGGAAATATGATTTAATGAAATATTCATGTACATTTTAGAAGCTTTATGAAACAATGTCCTTCATTTGCTGGCAAGAAGATAAAACATGACAGAACCTGTTTATTTATAATAAAACACAGGTATAACCGTATTCTTTTTCAAAAACATTGTCAAAGCTGTGCTGTTTCCCTTCTGTCTTATTTGATGTAATTTTTAGAGTGGTGTTCACCAAAAAGGCTGGCTTCACTAGATGGGACAATGCCGGCTTCACTATGGGGTCATGGGAAATGTGTTGTGTTCTGCCTTATTTCCAGGCTTCGTAAGTGATTCATAGGAATTAATTCTAAACTCAATAATGCAACATCTGACAGGAGACTGTTCTCAGTCTCTGAAGACTGGGGTTTGTCCAACCACAAAAGAATAGTTCAGAATCTGCCTTGGAAAGTATATAAAAATGTAACAATCCTGGGGGAAATAAAAAATAAGATTAATTTTATAATTATGAAAAAACACCTAGGGAAATATCTCATCTCTCATGATGGTTTTTCTTTTGACCGAATCTATGAGGTCATTTCTAGAAAAACACTGTCATATTTAAGAAATGCAAGAGAGAATGAATACCCATATACCTATGCAAGGAAGTCTCATGAAACTTATTTTAAAAAATCATTCTCCAGACAAGTAATATACTTACACAAAATTAAACAAAACATTTAAATATCTACAACTATCTGGCTGTCATGCATTCCACTCAGACCTTCTTGATACAACACAGACCACGGTTTTGGCTGACATGTGTCCTCATACCTGTCTTTACTTTCTAATGAAGAAAAGATAAATCTTTTACATTTTACTCTTTATGAACAAAGTGAAGCAGATGACTTTCATTTTTCATTGAAAAGGAAAACAATTTGTGCCAGTCATTTTATCTCACAAATTATTGGCCTCATTTGGAACAGACGGCCACAAGGCCACCAAACTATGAAAGGTCCTAACCTGGTAACAACCTTTTTTTTTTTTTTTTTTTTTTTTTTACTGAAAGTATTTCCAGGGCTTCAAAATAACATTACTTGGTGTTGAGAAAAACAGAATGGAAATTTCCCTCTCTAAACATATAATCTTAATAATTTTGAGTCCACCAGAAAGGAATTAATGACATTTTCATTTTTAAAATGTTCATCTTGACATGGCCATCAATTTAAAATTGACCTCTGCTCTTATGTTGTGTTAGGCTTTCACAAATACTTATTTTAATAGCTTACTTTCTTATATTACATAACTTAGCTCTTTTGTACATCTTATTTTCTTAAAAAGCAAATGGATTAACATTCAGTCAGTCATTTTGGATAATTATTACCAAATGATCATGATTACTTTTTTTATTAACAGAGCCTACTTTTTTCTTCAACACAAATGAGTGATACAAAGGGGTTTTAGTAAATAATAATAATAAACATAAATGCCACATTTCAAACATTCTAAGTTGTGGAGTTAACCAAGGGACAAAGCACTACTTTAATTTTATTATTTTGCTTCTTTTACTTTTGAGATTATAATAAGAGAATTTTACCATTTCCTCTTCCCTTCCTTCCCTTATAACTCTCTTTACTCTTTCAAATCCTTGGCTCTTTTTTTGATTAATTGCTGTTACACTCATATGTCTTATATTCATGTATTTCTAAATATAATCTGCTCAGTCTGTAACAAGGTTACTTGCATGTTTTCAGGGCTAAGCATTTGGTATTAGGTAACTAATTGGTGTACTCTTCCCTGAGGAAGACTATTTCTGCTGCTCTCACCATGATGTATGTGAAGTCTTTGGGTGGGCTGGAGGCTTTGTTAATTTATGGAACTGTACAGAAGGGATGAAGCGCTGCAGGGATCTCATCTGACTGTAACTGTAAACCAGCACACCACAGTGAGCAGCTAGCATAAGTGCATCTAAAATCTGTTTTATAATTTGACATGAGTTTCCAGCAATTTCTTTTCAGGCAATGCAGTATTTCCTGACTGAAGATTTAAGGGTCATGGTGTTAGTAAAATTGACTTTGTCAGTCTACATGGTATCTGTTTTCTCAGTGTGTTAAGGTTTAAGGAAAACACAATGCAAATGTGGTCAGAACCAAAAGATAGGTAGTCTCACTAATACAAACACCACATTCTGTCATTTGGATAGCTGTGAATTTTTTTTTTTTTTTTTTTTTTTTTACGAACATCACCCTAAAAATGTTCCGTGTCCTTCAGAATCACTATGGGTTTCTGATTACTCACTCAACAACATGCATTGTATTTTACTTGAATTTTCCTAAGTAAATCCCCATTATAGCTCTCAAGATTATTCAGAATATTTTATATATTCAACGGAAAAAGAAATGGAGGTCTTCATCAATTAGGGGACTCTAAAGAATGCAATTTAAGCTAAAGGATATTCGAATGGGAAGCACCTGCCTCGCGTCTCTGCCAAACATGACTTCTCAGGTATTGGGCAGGATATAGAAATCAAAGGAGGGTAAAGGTCAGCTGTCACCATAGATGTATTTGATCCACCCTTGAATTTGCTTCTTTTTGCCAAATGCTCTTCTGGAGAGTGCTAAGCTTGCTGTATCCTCCAACTTTCTTCATAATCCTCTCCCACTTGGTTGGATCCTTTGTACAGGGCTCTGCTGTGGGAAGAGAATCATTTTGCTGTCTACCCGTGCATGTGCCACTGGACTTCAGCAAAGAAAAAAAATCTCAAAATTCATAATGTCAGTAGCTGTCTTTCTGTTTCATCTTAGCCAACTAGGTGCAGAAGTATTCCACACTGATGAAAGTTGGCATGTTACCATACAGACTTGAAGTAAGCACACTGTCATTAACAAAATGTTTCTGGATCTAAGAGTTGAGCCCATTATAAATAATTAATAGTTTGAGAGCTAAGTAGAGGAATGAAATATTCAAATATGTGCTCATAACCCAAACAAGTAAATAAATGTTCACCAGAAACTCAAATAATAAAGTAACATTTTAGTATGAGAAGGCCCAAGGCAGCAGCATCATGGCTGGAGCAACTGATTAGTTGCCCAGTTTAACGAATACTTTCTTCTTCTAAGAATAGGGCTCATTGTACAAGATTCCTCTCTATCAGCTTGATTGTTCAGAAGTTCATTCAGCTAGGGCTCATTACATTTTCCTGGGGAGAATACTGTAGGTAGACCTTGATCTGGAGATTTTCTGCTTCTTTTTTTCTCCCAACCAACAGCAAATTGGTTCATGCAAATAAATACAGAAACGCAAATCTCCAGTAGCCCATAAAATACCTGTAGCTTTGTATTGGCCTTGATGATATGATTTGGATGTGGAAACAAAGCTTTCTATACATTCTGCTTATGTGGCCAAGGTACCACTGTCTTCCTGCTGTCTCTTGATTTCTAACACTTGCCTGTGACACTTTCTGACACACACTAAAGGAAGCTAGCTTTACTCTACTAGCATCTCTGCTGCTAACACCCCAGAGACTTCTACACTACCTTTCTAATTTATGCTTAATTACTAAAGGCATATCATTTTCAGAAAGTACCCTGGGTTGTAACCCTAACCCTAAAATTAACTGACAAGATGGTGTTCTCAAGGACAATAAAGGGATTTTTAACTGCTGAAGGCTTGCCTACTTTCCCCTGCCCCCTTCCTTTCAACATCTTAATCACTTTTAGCATGCCATATTAGAGGCTTGTGTCTGTGCTGACTAACAGTCCCTGTATCCTTCAGGGACAGCAACAGGGCATGCAGAACCCTCTGTAGCCAGTGTGGTCCAGCTTCTTTCAGCCTCACAGCCTCACTCAGATGCCAGTCATGCTGCCAAGTTTGCCATGACAGATGGTGAGGATGATGTGAGACACCAGCAATGATTCATTCCCCCAGATGGCAATGAAGCCTCATCTGGATCAAGCCAGAAATCACACTGCCTGCCAGGACATTTTAGTGTCAACTTCAATTTCACATCCAATTGTCCATGTCCCTCTTCTTTCTACAGCTCTACAAACCCACCAACTTTTGAGCCACATGTGGGATTCTACTCCATACTAAGTTTTATCTTAATAAAACTCAATCAGTGTAGTAGTTCTACAGGTTGACAAAAACTGCTCATAGAGTTTGTTGATAAATTATGTATACTTACACATTTTTGGAACTCTACTGTAACATTTTACAGAACTGGGTCCACATGAAATTGAACTGATAAAATGCTATATGAAGTGTTCCTGTTATGAAAATAGACACTTCCAACATGAACATAAACCCACAGCAGTACCAACAAAAATGCAAACACTCATGCTATCTACCACATTAACCGATTAGCAAATATTTATTGAGAAATTATTTGGTAAAAAATTCTCCAGTCAAAACTCTAAAGCTGTGAAGACATGAAACACTAAACATTGACCAAATGAACTGAGTGTCAAAAGTTTATATAAAAATGAAAATAAATACCCTCAACCTTCAGGTCTGTTCCCACCTTCAAGAATATTCTATACCTACTCTAGTAAGCATTCCATCACCAACACCCTAAAATTTATCATCAATCCTCTAAATTTCTCCAACATCTGTTTCTTAAGCAAAGTTCAGTTGAAGGAAAATAAAACATTAAAGATAGAGTGGTAATGAGGTATATTATTTTCATCTTTTCCACTTCCCTCATATGTCCCATGATATTTAATCATGCTCATGACTGCCTCTACCTTTCAGTATTTTACTTACATTTTTGTCTTTCACACCCAGGAATGACTTGATATAAGCATTATACAATTTAGAAAACAAGTTTCTCATGCTGAGTCTGAGAAGATAGTACTGTGTAACTCATGAGCTTGAATGATGATATTCATATGATATTTCCAACTTTCTTTATTAGCAATCCTGGTCTATTGAAAGCATGCTGGATAGCACTTCTCCTAGGAAGCTGATTGGAATCTCAGCAGCTTTTCTATAACCCAGTGAGCATTTAAACTAGAGACTGAAGGCAGAGATAGCTAGAATGCTTTGATCCCCCTCAAATGCTCATCATTCCTTAATTAATCTGTTCAACATTGAATCCTGAATTTAATGGAAAAAGTATTGCATCAAAATATTTACTGAATAAGTCTTTCATTAAGAAATGAATTTCATGAATAATGTATAGTTTTAGAAGCTATTTTGCCTTTGCAAAGCAATCACACACACACACACACACACACACACACACACACACATATATATATATATTCACATATAAAACATGTTTTTTTTCTGAAAAGGTACTATTATATTGGAAATAAGAAGGTAAAATCTTGCTTTTTATATAGTTACCACTGCTTTCTTGATTATAATGCTTATATTGTCATATATTATACAGGACAATCAGACTTCTTTTAATGAGCTTAAAACTCAAACAGGACTTGTAATAAAAAGGAAGGACATTATTATTGTTCATAAAGCATTGATATTTTCCATACCTAGTCCCCTAGCTAACGTGGAGTTAATCTGAAAAAGTTACATTGTCTCCAAGTATTTCTCACCTTCGTCATTTCATTTCATAATAAGCAAGAAAAGTAAAGAAATCTGTTTATGTTATTTAGTATTATTATAATAGCAACTAATGCTTAGTGCATTTTACTTAACACTTTTATTTATGTAACACTATCTTCCTTCAGCCTCATCATATATAAAATAGGCACCACTGTTCTCATGTTACAGACAAGCAAAATTAATCAGAAACAAAAAATTCATTGTGTTATCCAAAATATAAATGTCCAGGTTTCACTTGGGACTTCATTAGTTCTAAATGAATTTCATTCATCTTGAAACAATATATCCAAAGCACATCTTTGAATTTAGAACAATTTAGGTGGTAGGAGTGTCCACTTGCCCTGCTACCTTTAGCGACTCCAGCACTACAAGCAGGATGGAGATACACTGATGCCCGTAATAGGCCAGCATTTATCCTTCCTCTCAAATCTTCCCTCCTTAGTTCTTTCCTTGAGTGTGCACTCATGTCTTACTTGGGACTGTGTTCTGGGATAACATCTCATTTTGTTCAAATCATTGTGTGGATAGTGGTTAATGTTAACCTGCAGAAGAGTACTCTCATTTCAAACTGACTTCTCCAGAATCTTCAGAAGCTGATGACATGAGGAGAGTTTTATGTTTTTACTCTACATTTTGAACTTCTTCCCATGGCTATTTAACATCATCTGTATTCGTCAGTTAATGATTAGTCAACACACAGCACTTAAGAGAAAAGTAGTAGATCATAAAAAGAGATTCAGAGACAAATTCCTGTGAGACTTCAGAGAGTGACTGTCTTTTGCAATGAAGTCCACATATTCATGGGCTTCTAAGATGCAAAATCTGCAGTCTTTATTTATTAAATATAAATAAATAACTTTATCAAATGTATTGCTTTATTTTTCTAAGATGTATGATTCATTGCTTTCACCCTCCTAGGCTCCTGGGTATTTCTTAAACTTATTTCATTATTATGTTTAATGAATTTTAATTTGACTGAGTCATGTGGGAATTGTTTTTGAAACAACAAATACTCTTAAACAGTTTGCAACATCACACTTTACGTAAACAAAGTTCTTTTGTGAGTCAGTTTCTCTGAACATTCTCCACTTAAAAAGAGATGTTTTATCTTTAAATCTCTGTGGCTGCCAGATGTAATAATTATCTAATTTGTTCCAGTATAATAAAAACAGAAATTGAGATTAAGATCTGATAAATCAAAGGAAAAATGGAGCGATTGCCTGACCCTCTCTCCATTTTTTTCCTGAACCACCAGCCCTGGAAATTCCCCAGAACTCCCCCCTCCTTTCCTCCTGTCCTCTCTAGCCACCCTCCCCAATCCTCCAAGAACTTTATGACTAATCACAGTCAGCCAATCACTGACTCTATCCTTTGACTCAAGGTTGCTTTATTGGCACAGTAGATTGACTGTATGAACAATTCTCCCTCAACATTTCCCCCCCTTTTTTTATCTAAATAAAAATGAAAGGTTTTAACTGTAACAATGCAAAACTATATAAAGTAAGAATAGTTATCAAGTAAGAAATAC